GATGTAACGAAAGTGAAAGACTGTAGCTTTGTTTATCTAATCCTGGAGGCTTAAAAATGTCAAAAATCGCCGGAATTTTTTCCGCATGAATAATTGACGATCTTTACACAAATTTCTTACGTTACTAACAACCTTCAGACGCCGAGTTTTCCGTAAGAAAGTAAAACCTATGACGCAGGAGTGATAAAAGTCGAAGATAAACGCAACTACCTTAAAGCAAGTTTGATCGAAATGAAATTAAGCTATTACTTATTGCATTCTGGGAGCAGTTTTTCTCATTCCTTAAAAAAAGAAACCCTTGCTTGCTTGTTGTTCACTATGAACAAACCTCAACAAAGATAATTGAAGTTAGTAATATTCCACTAGAGATTAAAAGGCACAAATTGCTTGCGATGCACTGCAAGTTATGTTTCAAGATCATCACACCGAAAGCATTTGCCAATGTTAACAGTCAGTAGCGTGTGCCGTAAATCACTGAAGAAAAATGACGTAAGCAGTACAGCACAGCATCATGCATCAACTCTTCTCTAGAATTTCAGAGCAGTTACGCGGAACACGTTTTGGAAATAACAAAATCTTTCAGCGGGTAGTGCAAATGACCTTAGTATTGACGTTCATGTAACGGATATCGCTGAAACGACACCTTGCAGGAGTTGTAGTCCACGCAATAACTTGCAATTATTACCAATTATTTTTGCATTGTTGTTTTTATAAATTAGAATGAATTGCATGCGTTGGCCGAGACAAGTGCCTACCTGATCAGAACCGTTATCGGAAAGGTGTGGCCGGCGGAATCTACCACCAACGCTAAAATGAATCTCTGGAATGAATTTCAGATTATGCCAGAAAAGTTATTTTCAGTTGAAAACTGACTCGTTCTTTCAGGCGTAGATAGTGCGGATTTCAATCGTCATTCGGAAATTATTCTTTGGGGAACTTGCGTCAGTCAATGATTAGTTAAAATGTCTTTCTTACATTTCTGGGAAGCTTATCTTGAGCCCGCACCACCTGCTCTGCTCAGCGGGTGGCTGTAGTAGTTATCCTTTAGTATGATCATCCGTCCTTGAAAGAACTGCTCACTGACAGGACATACAGTGTATTATTTCGAAACGTGTCGAATTGCGGAAAACAACCGGAAAAATAAGTGCTATTTATTTTCTTTTTTCTGCCTTTTTATAGCTTAAAAAAACTCCTGAGAAAGTCAAGGTAAGTCGACATGTAACCTGGAAGATTTTTAGCTAATCTAGCTATTGTAGCATAGCCTAGCAATTTGAAAAGCGTCTCTAAACGAGTCGTGTTTCTGAAAATTTATGCGTGACTGAGTTTAAACATTGAACCAAAACCGCAAACAATTAGCCAGTTTCGAAAGCCTGATCGAAACCTGTTGAAGTTGTCTTAAGTTTATTAGAGGAAAGATAACAGCTGGAGGATCAAAACTCCATTGATGAAAAGGCAAATTAAACAGGAAATGAGGTCACAAGTGAGCACAGTTTACACTGTGTGGGCGATAGATTGATAACTTGGGTTATTATGCTTTGAAATCAACCTACTAATCCACCAACGCGATTTGCAATAATTGTTACAATAACCCAGCGAGGTTTGTGAATGACGTCAATGAGTGAAAATCAAAGGTTTCTTTGCTCAGCCTCATCAAGGTTGAACAATAAGAGACTTCACACTTTAGTACTCAAATACAACAAGTGTACCGAACATGTCTGAAACGCTCAGTGATAATTCACACGTTATCGACACATTTTGAGGTCAACCGGAACTACCTCACGTCGTTTCAGCGACTGATACAAAAGCCGAATTATTCAAAACAGAAATGATAGCCTTTATAATGATGCTATGATTACGATTCTCATCAAAAATTGCGGGTTTGAAATTAGAAAAGGCATACTACAACAGACCAGTTTGTTTAAATGTTCAAGTTAAATTGTCCCTTCTTCCTCTCTTCATTATGCCTAATTTTTCGCTAGTATAGACATACAGATCACCTGTTATCTCTACAAAGCTACTCATAATAATATCGCCCTTGCTTACAATTTCGTTTCCGAGCTCTCTAGACCGGCGCTATTCATTTCCGGATGAAATCTTAGCAAATTAAAACCAGTTTTTGCAAGAAAGCTGTGCACGGACGGTGCAGAGCTGTTAGACTGAAAAGAAATCAGAGAAAAGGGAATATCAGGTCGACGTGGGTCCAACCTATTAATAGTATCGATTATATATTGATTCCGTCGCCATTCATGGACACAAGCCGTTGCATGCATGTGGCCACGCTTATCCATCATAGCGTGACTAAAGAGTGTCATTAATTTTTATTACGGCGTTTTAATTACTTCCTTGTAAAGAGGTACTGAGATAAGCTTTTGCTTCGTTGGGTGGGATTTCACTGAGCAGTACGTGTGTCCTTGATGAAATAACTTAATTTCGTTAAGACAAAGCTCTTATTAATGAGTGGCGCGTACGAAATACTCAGAGGTACGCATGCACTTTCAGGCTAACTTATCATTTCAGTTATTCACGTTATCCATGCATAACAACAACAGTTCATTTGCCTTCCTCTACTACGCCGTTTCTAAGTTTATCATCGTTAAAAAAAAGCTAACGTCAAATCGTGTTTAACATCGTGCCACTGTCAACTGCAATAAAACCAAGGTATTCCCTTATGCTACGAATTCTGCAAAGTTCGTTGCTAAGAAATGACTGACTTGCAACTAGTGCACACTTCTTTAGCTTTCGTCTCGCAAAACATCGAGTCCCTACCAATCTTTGTACAACTTTCTAAACTAGAAATACAGTTTTGCTAGCAACTTGGAATCGGGATATAAATTAGCCTTAGTATCTTGTTGTTTTCGTGATTTCAGTGCTAGAAATTGTGATGTACGTAACGTTTGGTGATTGGTGGGATTAAAGCTGACGAATCGGCATGACAGTGCAAAGATTTTGTTCCAAAATGCTGACGACGCTGTCACAAGACAAAACAATAAAAGCAATAAGCAATATGGCTATTAATAGATTTGAAATCGTTAATCATGTGACGTCAGGGGTTAGTTCCAGTTTATGTCCCCCAACATCTTGTGAGTCCCTGCACGAGGTGACACGTCAATCAAAATTATCTGATGACGTCACAAAAGTGAAAGAGTTGGGAAATCTAGGAAATCAAAGCAATAGTCCATTCGTAATGTGCACAATCTTTCACATTGTTAACGGCTTTCGGAAGTGAAGTTTTGCGTTGTTCTGACGTGCGTGGAGCTCAGATAACGAAAATATGTGTTAACGATGATGATCATGCGACAAATGGAAGGAAAATTTACAGGGTTGGGTTTAAGCTCTGACTCACACTGTACTGTTCCTTCAGTCGGGTCCGCATATGGTATAACCAGTCAACATCCTCTCATTTACCCCTGAACTCTTATTAATCTTAGGTGATTCAGTGCTTTTTCGCGATAGTTAGAAGAGGGGGAAGGGTTTAGTTATGTAGCTTGCAGCAGTACAGAAATTACGAACTGAGCCGGACTCTTGTCATGTGCAAATCCAGTCGATGAGTTCTCATTTCTCAGACATTATGAAACCTTGAATGACCCACGGCATTGACGTATTCAGCGCTCGGATTTAACGTATGTTGCTGATACGATGGGTTACAGAAGCTGGAACTTACGCAATTTTCTTCGCTTAGATTCGTCAGATTCTTAGTTTGACGTTTGTTTATTGTAAACCTGTAACATAGCCGGGGAGTTTTACATGATTCTAAGTCACGCAATCGGCGCGCGGTTCTTACCATTTCACAAACAAAAAAGCTTTGAAGAACGGCTGTTAGAATAAGAGTTGAAAATGTTGCTAAGAACATGAAGGATATTAAATTTTAGCAAGTTTACTAGGAGCTTACATGGTGAGGTAAAAAGCCGGTGCGTCTTGATGGCAATCAGGTGTCACATCATGCAAACATCACCAGATTTGCTAATAATAGCGTCAACTGATGGCGTGACCGAACTGTCGTTGTGTGGCCTGCAGTTGGTGCTTGTGATAGCGCTTATTCTTTATATTATCTATTTATTGCCTGTATGCAAACTCAGCTAGTTGTACGCTTGGCGAAGCTAGAAAGGTTTAGCCTCTTTACACTGATGTAACATATTTAAATCATTGCAAAATCTGAAAACTGCTAGTGCAGGTGGCTGCCGAGCGGCAGATTTGTAGCCGCCGACTGTCTGAATTAGGAGACACATCATTTTAGCCTGTTTCTGCATTTGAACTTGTCTTATGTTTCAGTATAAGCTATGATGGGTTTTCCGCCGTTTATTTCACGCAAAATTAAAATCGGATCTCTTCGCATACTGTTTACAGAGTAGTCACGTCTGACGCATCACAGTGCCGGCTCTGCAAACAAGATTTCGCAATGACGAAACTTCAATCCAGTCTTGAACTGGTTAAATGACATCAAACCGGTGCCTAGTAAACAAAAAACTGTGCAATCAATTCAATCGTTCGATAGCCATACATGACACGTAGTGAAGGCTGATCGTCACCTTCAGTGACATTTTGGATGTACTTTTCTCTTGACGTATATGCACATGAAATGGAAAATTCCAAAAGTAGACTAATATAACGTATTACAGCGTGCTTACGTTACGGCCTCTGGTCTTTGCAAACCGATCGATGCTGACAAGTAGCTGAATGCCCGGGCTGAATCGTTGGAGCATGTTGAAATGTCAAGGCTAATGTGCGGGGTTTTGCTTGTCTGCAAGTCTCGCTATTTTCGTAGGCCGGTTCGGGTTTGTCCCTAATCTCAAGGCATCCCCGTGACCTGGATGATATCAAACAGAAGACCTTTATTGTCCGTGTTTTCATTNGCACTGAAAATGGTGGCTTTGTAAATCAAGCAGAAGTCATTTACAGCTATTACTTGGCCTGCGGAACATTTCATATGGATGTCATTCCCGATTTCTTTCAGCATCGGATGCGAACGAACCTCCTATAAGTCGTATTTCCACATCACCATCGGCGTGTGGAGGTGTTTGCCGTTCAGCGATCAGATGAAAATGAGCTCCCGGGAAAATATCTCGCGGCATGCTTTGCGAGTCATGTCCAACACCGCCTGCTTTGTCTTGCTTTCTTTGGTTGATGTTACCTAGGTAACAGAAAATCAACGAATCTTGTGATTGGTCCGTGAAGCTTGCTGACGCGCGGTTATGTTTTGCTAATTTTAGAAGAAAACGTAATGGTTGTGATGCTAATGTATTCCATCGAATAATATATATCTGCGTTTGCTGGGGCTTTCCCAGAATAAAGGTGATCTCAACAAATCATATCTGGGAACCAGTCGACGCGCACNAAAAAAAAACCAAAACAAAAAAAGCAGAAAGAATCGATAAGTCGAAGGTAGATCGTGCCTAGAATTGAATTCTTCTTACGTTATTTCGCAATTCACTCTATCACGGCAAACCCAATAAGATACATAATTAACTACGTCACGCGCGTTCTAGAATATTCAGTCTGTCTCGTGCAAATCGCTGAAACTTGAATAAAACCGAAAGAAAACTTTTCTAAACGTTTTTATTCGCAACTAAGAAGAATTTATCTACCATGTTAGACAGAAAACTGAGCCATGGACCTCCAAAGATGAAAGACTTAACACTCGATCGCATCGTCGTGTACAAATAGATCGTGTTACTAGTCGATTCGAGCTCTTTGTCTTGGTTTCTTTTGCTAATGTTACCTAGCAACAGAAAATCAACCAATCTTGTGATTGGCCCGTGAAGCTTGCTGACGTGCAGTGATGTTTTGCTAATTTTAGAAGAAACGTAATGGTTGTGATGCTAATGTATTCCATCGAATAATATATATCTGCGTTTGCTGGGGCTTTCCCAGAATAAAGGTGATCTCAACAAGTCATATCTGGGAAAGAACCAGTGGACACGCGCGAAAAGTGAACCATTGTTTGATGCTCGATTACACCCACGTGCTGGATTTGGATAAAACCTCAGCTTCGAACATGTTGATGCGACATTTGAATTTGCCACTGACTATGGACACAAACTCCAGCGACGAGCGAAATTTTCTCTCTGGAGCCGCGAAAATGCCAGTCCCTTATCATCTAGATGAATCCGACAGCGATTCCATCGTAAGCTGAAAATTTTCATCTGATTTTTATTTTCTCTGTTTGCGGGTTTACCAAAGCGAGTGCTCGCTTCGATCGAGTGTTCGCATTGAAACTCGAACGGCGCTTAAAACTTAAATTTGTCTCAGGATCACTTAGAAGTAGTCACGTTCGTTTTATTCGCGACTTGGGTTTAGTTTAGTTTATACTATAGATTCCACTAGGGGAAAAATCACACTATTGAAACAATTCCTTTAATTTCAGCCCTTCTTACATGTAAAATCATGGTTTATAAAAGACGCACTAAACCAATAGATGTAAATAATGTCACGATTCTATAATTAGTGTGTAACGAATATCTGACTCGACAAATTTAAGTTCCACTATGAAATTATTACTTGGACTGGTTTTAAGTTGAGATTTTCGCATTGCGGTTGCAGAACGAGACTAGAACATAAAAAAGCGAATGGTAATGATTTTATATCACTTACTTTATACGACGGTGAATTTCGCAACGTTAGGCAAGATATGTTAATGGCGCTGGTTGTAATATGATAAACAAGCTTGCTCTGGTTGACGTTATCAACATTAATCAAATGTTTTTCTTTCGATCTTGATTAAAAACAGGTTTCGAGCGAAGATGCTGCAAGCTACACCGAACTTGTTCCTTTGACAAGTGGCGCTAAAGAAGAAGTCAAAATGGGTCTTCGAAACGCGATACAAACAAGAAGAGTCGCACAGGGATTAGATGGAATGCCTCATCTCGAACCAAAAAGACCCAAGGTTGAAGTGGTAAGTCGATCGATCGAACCGCCTTATCCCTAGAAAATTTATTTCCAATTTTATTGCATTATCCAGCGCGCGCGTTTTGAATAGAACGCTGTTATTTTGCGGTTTTGTAAAACAATAAGTGTATGCTAATATGTTGAGAGTGTCATCGAAGGTCACCGTCAGAAATGACATTTTCTCCTATTTGTATTTCTCTCAGCTCTCCTTCGAGGAAGAAGAGAAAAGAAGGATACGAAGAGAGCGAAACAAGATCGCAGCTTTCAAATGTAGACAGCGGAGGAAAGAACACATGCAGAAACTTCAAGACGTGAGTGGTCAAGCCGTCAAATATTGTTTTTCGACAATACTCGTCTTGTGACTCTTGTCACGCATGAGACCGGAAGTAATCTGACCAGGCGAAAAGTCACGCGCGTCACATGATTAGTACACATCGTTCTTTGTCGTTTCCGTTTTGGTTCCGTTTGAACAGAGATCATAAATTGTTTTTACAAAAAAAGAAGAGAACGGATTTCTTTGACTGGCATTACACCCACGTATAAATTTCCGATTATTTAGAGCCTGCATTCCGCTCGGAGACCAAATTTGGTCAGACTGTTGTCGTGTGGGCGTGACTGCTGTGAACGCGAGGAAAGGCGTTGCCCCTCTACACATAAAAATTCTTTAGAAAATAATTTAGAGAGGAAATTCAGTTATTTGGTTCCGAACTATCTCGAGAAAATAGAGACACGACTAGCGGTAAACATTTTAGGTTAAAACAATGACAATACTGTTAAAATTAAAGGGAGTGCTGACACTTTATACTATTTTTGAGAAAATTTTTTCCCTTCTGAAATAACGGGTTTCTTTTGGCGATAAGTGAAATAAATAGGGCTCTCTCTATGGTTACGACGGAGTCATGTTTTTAAATGTTTTAGTTAAAAATTGCGACTCTCAGTGAGTTGTGTTTGTTTTCAAGAATGTCGTTTACGTTTTACCAACATTTCAAGGTACATATATTTTGAAGATTTATCAGTATTGACATTCATCAGATTAGTCTTTATAACGTGATGACACTTAACGAACCAATATGGCTGACGAAGTGTTATCTGTTTCGTTTTTGTAGGAAAGTGATGACTTGAACTCTGAAAACAGTTCTCTAGAAAGAGAATTAGAGGCCCTCAAAGCACAAAAAGAACAGTTGGAAAGAATGTTCCGAAGCCATGTGTGTGTCTTAAAGGACACGAAATCAAACGAAAACAAAACAACAGCGGCGGAACACTCGTGCGAAGCCAAATCACCACAGCCGTGTTCATCGGAGGTAGTAAAGTCCAACGAGCCCTCGAGTCCAACAAGCCCTGTTGGAGATTCTGTGAAAGCTTGATTTGTTAAGTTACTCATTAGCGTATAGCTGACTCGGTGTGGAATCATAGCCCCGTGCGACCTTCGTTCAAGCTCCATTTCCGAGAGATGTTCCAACCATGTGGTTGACACACTAGGACGGAGACACTCGCCAAAGTTTCGTTGGTTCACCCAAGCACTGAGCCAAGAATATAAATCTATTCCCACTCCTATAACTGCTTATCGAGCACAGAAAGGGATAGATATAATGAATAATTATTTGGTATTTAGACGAGTTTGTTTAAACGGTTTAAAGTACTGCATAGCTAAGTTTCAATTTTCACTTGCAGTAAATCGCTACAGAACTGTCAAACGTTCCTCGTAAATTTACATTCAGGCAGATTGATAGTCGAGCGATAAAAGATTTGAGCAGGAAACGAGTGTTGTGGTTATTTTAACGTAATTCTTTTTTTCTCAACTAGATTAGAAGTTTCGGATTAAATTTATTAACCTATTTATACATAAGAGGAGAACAGTTAATATATGGTAGTTTTTGGGACATTTTTGAAAATTCTAGTTTAGTTTGTGGCGACACTTTTTAGCTAAGTTATTCCGGAAAGTTTTTTTTTTGCTCTTTATGACGGAGAAAAAGTTCTTTCGGGCTGTGATATACATTTAGCAGTTTTTTCGTTTCGCTGTTGTTCGTTGGCTACTAACCGGTGAAAAACAGAAAGATCGAAAAACAAGGCGATTGAAACTAGTTAGAGAGTTTCCAATTAGAGGAAAATATTGTTCGTTTGGTTAAACATGTCTAGAGGAAGATGAAGTCAGTCAAAGAAGAGAAGACATTCTCCGCGAGTGTAAGCCTTTCGGTGTATTTGACACGACCACATTTTCTGGTAATAAGGTATATTAAAAATATACAAGTATTTATTTGGTAATTTCACTGAAGAGAACCTTGCAGGACTGAGCTTTGTTGGCTTGTAAAACAGGAGAAATGTAGAAACCATTAACTAATCAGAGTGTACATAGATACATTGCCATATCACGCATGGTGAAAGTACGTCCGTTCAAGCACCGGAAATTGTAGTAAGTTATTGATAGTTAAAGTTTGTGGAAGTTTCTTTCAGACTGTCCGTTTGAGTTGTACGACTTTTGTAATATAGCCAGACATAGAAAATGTTAATGTTTTGAGCGTTACAGCGTGGATGATAATAAAAAAGAAATTCAGTGATTTTAAAAATTGTTTTGTCTTAGTATTTGGAAAATTTTAAAACCACAATTGGACGTGACTCGTAGCCAGGAAGATGACATTCTTTCACTGTGACGTAGTTGGTTTTAAAATTCTTTTTTTTTTTTCTGCAGTTACAACACTGTTGCATTTAGTAAGCACATCCTCAGTAATAATTATTTGTTACCAGGAAACGCCATTCATCAAGACTGAATGGCTGCCATAATCCGAGTAATTCCTGGCAAGATGACGCATAAACGAGAAAAAGGAATTCCAACTAATATATTGATCGATGAGATAATAATTTTAAAATAGGCGCACGGATATTTCAGAAGGTTTATCAGGATTGTCTGAGAAAACAATAGAACTATCTCTTAAAACAATAAGAGGGGCGTGAAACAGGGTACGACTGGTATTACAGATTCTGAAGAGCTGCGCGTCTTCTGATAATTAAAGCCAAAAATAATATTCATTGCGATGGTACTTTGAATGTGAGAGGAGGTGGAAAATTTAAAAGTGCTAGATTTGAATTTAAAGAGAGTTAATTATATCTAAACAAGCTATTTAATAAATTTAATGATTTTAAAATGTTAATTCTCACTAGCCAATATTCAACCGAGAACAGAATAAAGGGGTCTACTTCCTGCCTCTTGAAACTCCAATAATGATAGAAAAAAACTGTAGTACCATTCGAGAACGAAGCCGAGAAAGAGGCATTTAGAGGTAGTCTTTAAGGTTCGAATCGTTAAGGTCAGTTGTAATGCACTGAACTGCTTTTCCATAGCGAATTCCATCTACTTTCAGTTCAAACCTGTCCGAAAAGAAGGCCCTGGCCAGCTTCCGTGTATCAAATGTATGAGACATTATGGATACTTTTCTGACAAAATGATCTAATTGTTCTGCTATAACTCACTTCCTTCCTGGTTAGCTGCCAATATTCACATGAGAATATAAAGAAAACTATTTCCTTTGTCTTCGATCCAGTTTTAATAAGACCAGCATATTTTCTATGTTTTTCCTCGAAAATATGTCCTCATCCATAAGCATACAGTCCTCATTGAACCTAGCGAAACTTCCGAAAATCGGATCTTTGGATATTTTTTCTTAGGTAAAGCTTGTCAAAGTTATCTTCAGACAGTTTGCGGGCGAGCAGGAATACACGGCGTTTCTGAGGGCTAAAATATAGCCGACGTAGACAATATTACTGAAATATTTGCCTAAGCTTCACAAAATGGAGATTTGTCGGCTTGATTCCGCCTTTCAGTGTAATGTCGCTGCTTTCGCCTTTTCTTGGTTACGTTTTGTGCTTTTGCTTATTCCCTGTCAAGTAGTTTGTTTCAAAACAAAACAATTTCGCTCGGTATGTGCGTCCCTTTTCCGTAAGTGCTAAGAAAACAGGGAGGTTACTCAATGTATACCACCTTGATACAACCTTCTTCTCATTCTGCATTTTTCTAGTAAATACCTGAAATTGGCCAACGATGTCACCAATAATTAATTTCATAAGATCGTTGATGTAACCAAGAAAAATGCAGTTTACAGATACGCTTAAAATCGCTTCGATATGTATAAACTTAGCGATTGAAAAATGTCCCTATTGTCCACCATTCAACTCCCGGTACCCTTTCAAAAACAACCAAAGTGTCTGCATCGTTACACTGGGGAAAGGTCAGTAGAAATATATTTATAATTAAATTTATCAGCGACAGTGAACTGGGAGTGGAATCGGAGAGTTTAATTTCCGCGAGTGCACACGTGAAAGATCAAAGTTTTTGTTTTTTGGCAACGGTATTCTAATATAATCTCGAGTCTTATCAGTAGAGGGTCCGAAAAGGGTCAGTTGATTCAATATTCAAAGATTGTAAAAACAGCTCCCAATTTATACAAACTGAACTGAGATCGGCGTGATGTTATTTTTTACACACACACACACACATAAAATGTAGCCGAAACTATTAAGTAATCAGAACGTACATAGATACATTGCCATATTCATGTAAAGTTGTTTCAGTTCACGCATGGTGAAAGTACTTCCGTTCAAGAACCGGAAATTGTAGTAAGTTATTGAGAGTTAGAGTTTGTGAAGTTTCTTTCAGACTGTCCGTTTGAGTTGTACGACCTTTGTAATATAGCCAGGCATAGAAAATGTTAATATATTTAAGCGTTTTAGCGTTTATCACAGTTTTTGGAGAATTGTAAAACCACAATTGGACGTGACTCGTAGCCAGGAAGTGTACATTCTTTCACTGTGACGTAGTTGGTTTTAAAATCCTTTTTTTTTTTCCTGGCAGTTACAACACTGTTTCATTCTGTGTGTACATCCTTAGTAGTTCGTTTTAAACAAAACGTAGATGATTTCTAAATTCCAGCACGTTCAACTGGTGGTTCAATACATCCTGTTAATCGATGATATAATAATAATAATAGTAATAATAATAATAATAATAATAATAATAATAAAACTCACAAAGTACAAAGATCTTGAGATTGAAATCGAGAAAACGTGGGGGATGAAAACAACAACTGTCCCAGTGATAATTGGAGCTTTCGGGCTTGTCAAGAAGGGAACAGAAAACTACATCGGTAAGATCCTAGGCACTATTAGAATAACAGAGCTACAGAAGACCGTCCTCCTTGGAACTGCTCACATACTTAGGAGGACTCTATCCATCAAGTAATCCGGCAGACTTACAACTGCCCTAGGCTCACGGATTGACCTCGGCACCATAAGTTAATAATAATAATAATAATAATAATAATAATAATAATAATAATAATAATAATA